GAAACATGTTACATTTATTTATCATATCAATTTCATATAATTTTTAGTTTTTTTTTGGCTATATTTTAAGCCAGAATTATTGAGAAGAAATAAATAGAAGACGGTCAGTTAAGATGTACTTTTACACGTTCCAGAAGATCACCAGAAGATCATCATCGTCTTCACCCAGAGGATGGCCATGACCATTCTTCTTCTCACACTTGTTTTATGTTAAATCTGTTATCAATGCCACGAAACATTGTTTGCATTATCAGTTGCTGTTAATGTCCCAATTTTTTTATTCTAAAATAATTTAAACACTTTTTTTTCTGGATGATATTCTTCTACATTGAACAGCAAAACAAATGGCAATTTTTTCCTAACTCTTTTTATTTTTTAACAGCAAATTATTTTAGCGCTATATATTCGAATTTTCTTTATTGCATTCTTTTATTTATAATAAAAACATCATCAACCAGTGTGCTCTCAACTGGCTATCGTAATGCTGCTGACCACCCAGTCGTACTGTTGCAAAGAATAAAAAGAAGTTGAAACAAAATTGTAGCGCTAAAACTTCTTGAAGTCAACACCGTGCATGACACCGACCTGTTTTACCAACAATTTATTTTATAAACACTGTTGCAGCCTTTGTTGCTAAAACAAGAAACAAAATTTGAAAACAAAATGTAACTTCCGACCTAATCCTCAAGAGACGAATATATACATTTTGAAATCACATTAAAAAAAAGAATAAAAGAGAAGTAGAACATTTTCCATTAAACAGAAAAAAAGCCATTAGAAAATCGCTCGTGCATATCGTGTATTACTTGCAAAATTAAACCTTTCAACCTTTCCGCAAATCACCATATGATTACTATTCCATTTAACTAGTTAAATTTGTAGATTTAGCTTAGTCATTTAAAATACTGTTTACAATTACCGCATATATTACCACCGAGAAATGCTTACAAAAAAAAAAGTCACAACCGAAAACAACCAAGCTCAAATTACAGCTCTCCAACAACTATAGTTTCCAGAAATAATAGAATTTAGCAAGAGATTTCAAATGAGAATTTTAACCACATAACCCCCAAATTAAACAGATTACTCTCAATTCTCCCATTCATAACCAACTAATATTGTACTGTACGAGCATATTTCATGCCCTACAAAAACCAATGTTACAACGAGTCCACCGACATATTTGTCAATCAGTTGTATACAACAAACTTTTCAACTCTTTTTTTTTTTTCATCTCTGACTACAAAAGTTATTCCGCTCTCGACAACGACCATGATATTGGTTCAGATCAGTAGACTGCTTATTGGAACAATCGGCTGCACACATTCTTTTCCATATTATATATATATATATATTTGAATCTGTAAAGACACGACCTTCTTAATCATCAATATTTTTATTCATGAAAATAGTAATAATAACATTATTAACAGTAAATACAATAATAATGATAATGATGGTAAAAGAATAATAATGATTCTAATGCTGATATTGACAACGACTACGACAACTGCACTGATGATGATGTAGTAGACCCAGCCACCCAGCCGACTTGAAAAAGACGTTTGGCTTTTTCACTGATAAACTGACCTAAAGCACCCACTTCCTCGACGGTCATTAAACTACTAGACGATCCATTAAAACTCACCGATATGCACAGTGTTGAACCACCATCGTTATTTAATCACAACAACTCGAAAAATAAAAGAAACCATTGTTTTTCTACCGTCCATTATCATAGAATTACGCTCTACCTCACAACTGTAGACTTTGACTGTTGCGGTGACAAATAAATGACTACTATTATCAATAATCAACCACTACCACCACCATAATCACCACACCAGCCTCCCTCACCATCCAAAAACAGCTTTCTTGTAATCAAAAAATTAATTATAATTAGTGCAGCAGAACAGCGCAACCGTACCCGCTGAATTACTTTTTGAGCGACAACTGTCTGACGTCTCGACCAGTTATCAATTGTCAACCATCTGAATGCTTACAATCAGGCATTTGAAGAACGACAACCACCGCAGCAGAAACTGACAAAACTGGCAAGAAACGCGACGGCATGTCAACAGCAACAATGCTGACTGCAGCAATAACGACAACACCGGCGATATTGCCAACCATAGCTAAATTGCAGTAACCGTGGCTGCATCGACAACGACAACAGCGACTATGGCGACGCCTCACCAAGCAGAAAGACAGAATCGCACGACACTCAGTCCAACTTAAGCAAACCTTATCACCAAGATAAAAAAAATGAAAATATAAAATAATTCTTTATGCATATGAACAAACTGATTCATCGATGAGGTTATGTAACAAGATGTAAAAAACTAATCAAAGTGACATTAAAAAAATAAAAGATAAAAAAACAGAATGAACTATTTTTTCTTGCTTTTCATGCATAAAAATTTGAACAGGCAAACAATAATGATAGTACTGAAGACAAACAAAAAAGAAAAAAAAAGGAAGAGCAAAAAAAGAGTCACGAAAATTCCCCGCATTCTCTTTTGTTTTTTCTTCTATGCACAGATAGAAAAACAGAAGAAAAAAAAAAGAGCAAAAATTTAGCGATCATCAATTACTTGTTTTATTTCACAACGTACAACATTAATTGGTTCAGATTCACATTTAAGCACAAAAGAAAAAAGCTGAAACAATAACAGACAATAAATTACCCATTAAAAAAGAATAAAGGTAAAGTGTGAAGGAAAAAAACAGTAAAGAACGGAGCTGTCGCTAAACAATGGACGCAACAGCAGTGTACTTGTAAACACATCATTTTTTCAACTTGTTCTCTACTTTTTGTTCTGTATATATATACCATTTGATAACAAAGTTTTGTAAATCTACGATCTTAAAAATTGTGGAAAAAATATGGATTAAATATTGAGGAGAAAAGAACAAACAAACAAATGAACAAACAAACAACTGAACAAAGAAACAAATAAACAAACAAACTGCTGTCACAATTTTCCTACTTAACTTTGGTACTTTTTAGGACGAACGGCAAGCTTAAAGCAAAAAAACTACAAAAAATAAGGTAATTCTTATCAGAAAGCAAAAAATGGGGGAAAAAACAGAGCAGAATTTCAAAAATGTACAAAAAAAGTTTTGGATGACTCTTCTAACATTTGCATCGTTTTTCCCCTTCTTTCTTTCACTTTTTATCTCCACTACTGTACAATTCAGTCTCAAATACAAATGGACATAAATACGCCTGTCTCTCCATTTCTGACCGTGCACACGTTCTCTTCCTCTGCCTCCCTCCACTCCTTCAGACAGTGCCTCCCTTTTTCTAAACCTGCCTCTTCCAACCACGACCTATAAAATCCGAAGGAAGAATGCAGCGGAGAGGAAACGACGATCACAGCAGCGGCAACAACGATGGCAACGACTACAACGACTATGACGATGGTGAAGACGAGAATGAGGATGAGGATGTTGTAAGATGAAGATGGTAATGATGACGGTGACGGTGATGGTGACGGCGACAGTGATGATGATAACAGTACGACAAAAACAGTTATCGAAAAAAAAAACAAATTGGGGAAACGATAATACCACTAACAATCATAATAAAAATTATGATTATGACAATACTTTATGCAATGACCTGAAATATCAAAAGTGCCAAAGATAGAAGGCGGTATAAAGTCAAGAAAAAATTATCACAAAATTGACAAGAAACAATAGAGAATAAAAGAAGAGAAGAAACACGAAGAAGCTTTTCCTGTTTTTCTTCTTGTTAATTTAATAACAAAAAAGAAAAAAAAAGCTGCATATCCACAGTAATCCGATTAACGAAAAATAATAATACTATTATCACTGCATATTCTATAGCAAATGTGACAAAGATGAACGGATGGGAAAATAACGTGAGAAAAGAAAAGAAGTAAGACATACAACAAAGGCACAAACTTGGACAAATAATGATGATAATGATAATAATAATAATAATAAACCAAAAAATTTAAAAAAACTGAATAAATTAGTAGTGTTAGTAAGAGGAAAACAGACACCATTTTATAGGCAAGACTTATGCTTTTTTGACTGACAAAATGACTGACTGAGTTATGAATGT